CGTTATGCAGCCCAAGCGAACACACACAGCTCTTACACGTCCGCCCAAGGGCGTGACGGAAAAGGCGTTTGTACCAAATTAAAAAAAGAACGCGGAGCAGAAAATTAGAGGCTATTTTTTAAAACATGAAAATTCTAAGACCGAAAACAATATCTGGAAAAACATTTACTAGATGATTTTCACAGCCCGTTAGAAATAACAGGAAAAAAAGACTCACGGACTTGTAGGTATGTATCTATTTCCTCTGAAGAAGAGAAAAATGGTTTTTTTAATGTGCAAAAGCTCAGTGACTGGGGGACAATAACGAAAGGTCTAACGCGCAGGCAAACGGGAGGAGAGAAGCGTAGAAACCTGGACACTGAGCTGTGGGTCTGGCCAGGCGCGGACGCGACGCGCGGGACAAGCACGGGACGGGCAGCGGTGGGGGCTGCGTGTGGCTATAGGTCACGACATGTTCTGTGACCTGGGACAGTGCCAACTCCACGGACGGACGCCGTAAGACCGAGAGCAACTGTTACAGCATTATAGGAACGTAAAAGGTAGAGCTAAATAGTAAAAAAAGAAAAAATTAACTGTAAGTATAAACAGCATCCGACTGGAAAGCAGAAATGGAGGGAAAAAATGAGGTGAACAGAAAACAAACTAGAGCGACACAGCGACATCCACTCGCGTCGATAACTGCACTGCGTGTGACGAACTGGACGCTGGGACGGACTTCAGGCAGAGACTGGACAAGGGCAGATCCGACCGCACCTGCCCCACGAGCAGACACGGGCAGGGCAGGTGGGTACGAGAGGCTGGACGTGGCAGGGAGGAGCCAGCAGGGGGCTGCGGCGGGGGACCCCAAGGGCCAGCGAGCCGCTCAGGGCCATGCCTGGTGATTCCGCGGCAGCTGCCCGTGGCTCCAGACTGCAGCTTAAAACCAACTTGTATTTTATTAACACTCACCCAGCTCCACAGGCAACGTTTTGATAGGGTTTCTCTCTAAAAGCAAAGTTTTCAAATACCTTTAAAACAAAACAAAAAATACAGCACTTAAAAAGCAGAAAATCAAATGGCCATCTCTGAAACAGACGGCCAAGTTTCTTCATTTGTCGTCTCTTTAAGGGGCGACTCAGCACAGACACAGTGACACACGCACGGTCTGTCTCGATGCTCGGGCCCGGCTCCAAGCTGGCACTGCTGCCATCCAGGACCAGGCGAGCCTCTGCTGGAGGCTGTCCCAGGCTTTGTGGGGTACGTAGCAGCATCCCAGCCTTTCCCCGCTAGATGCCAGTATCTCCCCAAGCTGTGACAGCCGCAGCATCCCCAGCGAACCAGCCCGGCTGAGGACCAGCGCCCGCTGCCGCGCCTCCGCAGGGGGTGTCGGGGCATCGCGGTACCCTCGTGCACACTTCCAGTGACAAGTTTACGAACGTCGATCCTTAATTGCTGCCTGTGATCCACCGACCATCTGCTTCCGCTGACTTGCCAGCGGACACACAACCTGTCGGCGGACCCAGAGCTGCCCGCGAGGAGGCCCGGCGGCCGACGCACGCCGGAGACCCTGCCGCTCTGCCAGCGAGCTCACGCCTCCGACACCGAGAAGGGAGACACCAACGCTGGCATTGTTTTAATCAGGCTTTTTGGAAAGTTTAAGGCTTTTAATAAGCCCATAATTACTTAAAATTTCTAATTAATGTGTTTGGGTCTTCAGCAGGCTGCTCTAATTTTAATGACACGATGGGTTATAAATCACATGCAAAATTATATCTTAGACAACACTAAGCAGCTGGCCTCGACTGGCAAAATCAGATTCCAAAATTTCAGAACTGTGTACTTATTTTAGAAGAAAAAATAGTGTTTATGGGAATAGTTATCAGTATATTTGAAAGCTTTGAGTAACAATTACTCCCCAGAACGGTGTAAAATGCTAAAACAATTTATGGACAACAGGCACTAAATTACCCTAAACACAGAAGATGGGGATCTTGTGGAGAACAAAGCCTTCCCAGGCCACCCCGAACCACAAGCCCAGGGGACTCAAGGACGCTAGGTCGAGCTGTAAGGCATGAAGTGGAAGCAGACGCAGAGTACGCTCAGCCCCTTGTCACACGCCCAGCTGGCAGACCAGCCCCGGCCGCTGTGCCGAGCCCTGGTTGGGGCTGAGGACGCTGTTCTGTGTGGCCAGGAGCACCCTCTCGCAGGCAACCTGGTCTGCAGACCTCGCCGGCCCACGGCTCTGGGAGAAGGGTCCCTGGTCTGCTTTCGCCCTGCTGGGGGGACCGGCACACCAAGGACTCGCCGCCTCCTTGAAGGGCCTGGAAAGGCACCAATGAATCGGAGAGATTTCCCCTTCCTGTGACATGGGACAGAATGTTCGCTTTTAGCAAATGCTGTTAAAAGCTGTGAGCTACAGTCCAGGCCCCTGCACAGGTGGTTTCCCAGCAGCCACCTGCAGACACGGGTGCCTCTCTGCAGACGCAGCCCCTCGTGTGAGAATGGGGGTTGCCCGGACACCTCTCTCCTCCCCCGCCCACGTCTGCCCCGAAGCCCGGCAGCTCTCCAGTACACGGTTCCACCTTGCAGGCCCTGCCTGGGGCCGCCTCCTGCATGACGGCCACAAGGCCCCTAACTGGCCCCCTGCTCCACCCTGGACCCCGTGTGACCTTAGCGCAAGGCCAAATCCCACCCAACCTGTTTGAATCCTTTCAAAGTGAAATCCAAAGTTGCAGCTGGGCCCATAAGCTTAGCCAACCCTCTTAAACGCATCCCTCACCACTCGGCCCCTCCCGCGTGCCGCCACACTGGCCTGGCTGGCCCTCGCCACCGAGCACACGCCCACCTCGGCCTCTGCAGGTGCTCCCGGATGCCCTGACACCAAGGCTGAAGGCAGGGGGACCCCACGGCGGTGTGCCTCCCGAGTGAGGGTGCCAGCTGACCCCGGCTCTGGGGAGGGGGAAGAAGTGGCATCGCATGCACCCGAGAAGTGGGTGGGGGCGCTGGGGCCGCTGCGGTCAGAGGGGAGGAGCGCGCGGGACGGCGCACCCC